GGGGGGGGGGGGGTAGCCTCACTGCAAGAGTTCATTTGGAGTTCTTTCAGAGTGCCCGGAGTTCTTTTTTAAGGTCGCCACATACAATGATGTACCTAGCATATCCGTAACCTGGGGCCAATTATTTTTTTAACCTCCCCTCCCCACTCACAGACACACATAACCCAAAAAATGATTTGCAGTAATAAAGTGATGCAACCATTGTGTTGCGCCAGAGGGTGGGTGTGGCCAATCTGAGGTGGGAGGGTCCTAAAGGGGCAGGGTTAAATAAAACCGAGTCAAACAGGCATGTACAACACTCAGCACGCTTGCACAGCGCCTTTGCATTCTAGGATGCAGGTGCCTGAGCCACACAACATCTTAGTAACCAGTGACTGGGGAGTGGGGGCGGGGGAGCGGCGTAATGGTTGCCATTGTTGACATCCGACCCCTCCACTGCCCTAAACTTGAGCACCAGTCCAGTGGCTTTGCTTAAACTGGGATGATTTCATCAGTCTGCTGCACACAGCAGGAAGCATTTTCTCAGTTTCCTCTCCCCCAATCATCAGACTGCAACAATGTATCTTTGTAGCAAGTCACATTTAGAGAGCATGCAGCAGGGGCTTGTTTGTGTCAGACATTTGTGAACACATAAATGCTGTGATCTCTGTGAGAGGGAATAAATACCTGGAAGTGTTACTCTTTTTTATCATGAAAAATAGATCTGATTCTAAGCACGAGTTTGATCAGCCCCCAGAAACTCCCAGCAGCCCATGAGATCCTTATATCAAATGCCAGAATTGCCTGACTGCCGATCTGATTCTAATGGGTAACACTGACAACCCTTCAACCTCTCCTCTCACACAACCCCCCCCACCCCCCACCCCCGCCAGTGCCAGCCATAAAACAAAACTTTTTCTGTTATTTCGGAGGCTCATGTGGTGTAATTATAAGATGTTTGGCGCTCAGTAAGTGGAGTCTGGGGGTGAGCGAGTCCTCTGTAAACCTGCTTATTACAAAGCCTGACAGACTAATCACTATGTCAGACCATCTGCCGCAACACAGCGTCCTGCCAGCAAACACTTCAGTCTGAATCATGCAACACGCCACATCAACTCTGGAACGCGGAGCTTACAATCTAAACCGCCGCTCCCGCACTCTGCCGCCTCTTCCTCCGTATCACCGAAAGTCCGGCACGCTTTTTCCGCTCATAAATATTTGATGCGCATTTTCTTATCTTATGTAAGACAACACTGACACCAGCAACTGTATACAGAGAGCGAGAGAGAGAGAGAGGGAGAGAAGAGAGAAAGGGAGAGAGAGAGAGAGAGAGAGAGAGAGAGAGAGAAGAGGGAGGGAGAGAGAGAGAGAGAGAGAGAGAAGAGAATGATGGAAAGAAGAGAGGGAGGGAGAGGAGAAAGAGGGAAAGAAGAGGGAGAATGAAAGAGGGGTGAGAGAGATAAGAGAGAGAAGGGGAGAGAGAGAGAGGGGGAGAGAGAGGAGGGAGAGAAGAAAGAGGGAGAGAGGGAGAGAAGAGAGGGGGAGAGAGAGAGAGAAAGAGGGAGAGGAGAGAAGAGAGAGAGAGAGGGAGAGAAGGGAGAAGAGGGAGAGGGAGAGGAGAGAGAGGGGAGGGAGAGAAGAGAGAGAGGAGGAGAAGAGAGAATGAGAGGAGAAGCAAGAGAGAAAGAGAGAGAGGGGGGTGAGAGAGAAGAGAATGATGGAAAGAAGAGAGGGAGGGAGAGGAGAAAGAGGGAAAGAAGAGGGAGAATGAGAGAGGGGTGAGAGAGATAAGAGAGAGAAGGGGAGAGAGAGAAGAAAGAAGAGAGAGGAGAGAGAAGTAAGAGAGAAAAGGGAGATGGAGAGGAGAGAGAGATAAGGGAAAGAGGAGAGAGAAGAAAGAGAGCGGAGAAGGGAGACCTACTGATGACATCACTGGGTCTAAATTAAAATGAATAATGAAAATTAAAAGATTTTATTTAAAAAGTTTAATTAGTATGTTAATGATGGGGGAGGGGGAACCAGGGAGGCAAATTATAAGCAGAATAAACTTTAGCATTAAATTGACTATGTTGTTGTTGTTTTTCTATCAACTTTATATTCACTTTCTTATTTAATACAGTTGCATAGAAAAAAACAGAAAACGTTACAAAACCACCTTTTACATACAAATAAATAATATTTACATTAACCTTCACTATGTTGTTTTAAGCAGAAATAATACTGGGAGCTCTCTCTCTCTCTCTCTCTCTCTCTCCCCCTCCCTCTCTTCTCTTTCTCTCCCTCTCTCTCTCTCTGATCTCTCTTTTCTTTCGCTCGCTCTCTCCGCGCTCTCTCTCTCTGATCTCTCTCTTTTCTTTCGCTCGCTCTCTCTCTCTCTGATCTCTCTTTTTCTTTCGCTCGCTCTCTCTCTTTCTTCTCTCCATCACTCTGTCTCGCTCTCCCTTCACTCTCTCCATCACTCTCTCCATCACACTCTCCATCACACTCTCCATCTCTCTCTCACATTTTTTTCATTCATTCAGTCAGGCCTTCTGTACAAGAGAGAGACAGCAGAAATACGGTAGTAGGTGTGTTTTGAAATAACTCTCCATCTTTTTTTTAAGCACGGTGCATGCATCAAAAATAAACCCCAACACAAAAACACAAAAAGTAAAGCTGAAGCCAGTCCACCAAGTACTTGGTGAAGGCTTTCTTAAAGAGGAACCCCCATAGGGAGAAGCAAAAGACTTGAAAGCCACAGTGTCCCCCTAGACATCAGGATGGGCTTTGAAGGTATAGACACCCCTAGTCATCGGTGGGGTAAAACGTGCTCGTGCATAAGTGCTATAAATACAAAAATAAATGAGTGCCAGTGAGAGACATGGCAGGCCTTGAAGCCAAGATAAAATATTGCTTCAGGCTAGCCTGAAGACCTGCCCAAGACAACCTGACCAAGTGCCGGGACATTTTGCCAGTAGCACACAGTGGGATTCCAAACCCATACAGGGGGGATTTATAAAAACCGGAGCAGACAAAATATGGAGCAGCTGTGCATGGCAACCAATCAGCTTCTCTCTTTTATTTTCAAATCTTACCTGAACAAACTGAAGAGAGAAGCTGATAGGTTGCCGAACCCCTTGATCAAACCAAGTACACCTGTTAAAATCAGCAGGAACTGGGTCCCTAGAGTTCCCAGTAATAGGGAAGTATTCAAAACCTCCACCTTGCTGGGGATGCTATGGTTTCCATCCCATGGCTGGAACCCCTCCGGAAACCCATCATACCATGTAGAGTACTCTGTCATCAGCCAGGGATCATGGAGACAATGTATCAGGATGGAAGCCCTGGGTGCGATCTCCTTCCATTAGGGATGAAATGTTTTATGATGGGAGCCCCTGTGTGCAATCTCCTTCCATCGGGGATACAATGTATCAGGATGGGAGCCCCTGAGTGCAATCTCCCTCCATCAGAGATAAATTGTATCAGGATTGGAGCCCCTTGGTGCAACCTCCCTCCCTCAGGGATACAATGTATCATGATAAGGTGCTATCTCCCTTTATCAAGGATACAATGTATCAGAATAGGAGCCCCTGGGTGCATCTTCCGCATCAGAGATACAATGTATAAGGATGGGAGCCCCTAGGTGTGATCTTCTTACATCAGAGATACAATGTATCAGGATGGGCGCCCCTGGGTGTGATCTTCTTACATCAGAGATACAATGAATCAGGATGGGAGCCCCTGGGTTGATCTCCCTCCATCAGGAAAACAATGTATCAGAATGGGAGCCCCTGGGTACATCTCCCTCCATCAGAGATACAATGTATCAGGATGGGAGCCCCTTGGTGTATATTTCTCCATCAGGGATACAATGTACCAGGATGGGGTCCTCTGGGTGAGATCACCCTCCATCAGGGATACAATGTACCAGGATGGGGTGCTCTGGGTGAGATCTCTCTATCAGGGATACAATGTATCAGGATGGGGTGCTCTGGGTGAGATCTCCCTCCATCAGGGATACAATGTATCAGGATGGGATCCTCTGGGTGAGATCTCCTTCCATCAGGGATACAATGTACCAGGATGAGATCCTCTGGGTGAGATCTCTCTATCAGGGATACAATGTACCAGGATGAGATCCTCTGGGTGAGATCTCTCTATCAGGGATACAATGTACCAGGATGGGATCCTCTTGATGAGATCTCTCTATCAGGGATACAATGTATCAGGATAGGATCATCTGGGTGAGATCTCCCTATCAGGCATACAATGTATCAAGATAGGATCCTCTGGGTGAGATCTCCTTCCATCAGGGATACAATGTACCAGGATGAGATCCTCTGGGTGAGATCTCTCTATCAGGGATACAATGTACCAGGATGGGATCCTCTTGATGAGATCTCTCTATCAGGGATACAATGTATCAGGATAGGATCATCTGGGTGAGATCTCTCTATCAGGGATACAATGTATCAGGATGGGATCCTCTGGGTGAGATCTCCTTCCATCAGGGATACAATGTATCAGGATGGGATCCTCTTGGTGAGATCTCTCTATCAGGATACAATGTATCAGGATAGAATCATCTGGGTGAGATCTCCCTCCATCAGGTATACAATGTACCAGGATGGGATCCACTGGGTGAGATCACCCTCCATCAGGGATACAATGTACCAGGATGAGATCCTCCGGGTGAGATCTCTCTATCAGGGATACAATGTATCAGGATAGGATCATCTGGGTGAGATCTCCCTATCAGGCATACAATGTATCAAGATAGGATCCTCTGGGTGAGATCTCCTTCCATCAGCGATACAATGTATCAGGATGGGATCCTCTTGGTGAGATCTCTCTATCAGGATACAATGTATCAGGATAGAATCATCTGGGTGAGATCTCCCTCCATCAGGTATACAATGTACCAGGATGGGATCCACTGGGTGAGATCACCCTCCATCAGCGACTAAAAAGTTGCAAGCTGCCGTTTCCTCCAGCAGAAGTGGGCTGTGGGTTGAATGAACAGACATGCGCTGTGTACAAGCTCCTCTATCATCCACATCCAACCCAAATGATGAAATGAAGAAGTGAGGGCTGTGTGGGGTGGGAGCAATGACAGAGGCAGAGGGAGCCTATTGTTCCGGGTGGGCTGGGGGCAGCAGATCCACAGTGAGGGCTCCTCTTCTCCTCTAGTAACGATGTCCCTCCACCGGGGCTGGAGAAGGTGCCCAGTGCCCAGCGGATACCCAGCTCCTGCCATCAGGTCTGCTGAAGATCCCCAGGGAGGAGCTGCTATTCTGGTTCGTGTCTTGCCTGCCTGGGGGCTCACGATGCCTCTATTTTAAGAAACAAAGGCAGTGTGGATGAAGGATGCTCCTGACGGCTCAGGGGATCACCCGATTTGCTTTGTTACAAACTCATGCCAACGGGAGCAGATCAAGGACTGATGGCACAGTAACCAAGGCACGGAAACCTTCTATTCATTGTGGAATGTTGGAGAACTACGAGTCCCAGCATGTCAGCTTTATGCAGGTAATATGAAGCTTTTGCATTTGCTTTGCTCCACATGTCAAGGAGGATAGATTCAAACTGATATGGTACAAGGACACAAGAGCCATATATACATATGGCATAAGACTTCTTAGTCTGCAACTGTGAACAAAAAGTGTCAGCATTAGGGAAGAAATGTTCTTTGTATTTGTGTTTTGTTACCGGTTCATGCCAAGAGTAAAGGAGCTGTGCCCTCCTAGCTGTTGGTGAACTACAAGTCCCAGACCCAGAGGTGTATCCACATCTTTCACTCCAGCTGCTTGATGGTACTGTAATTGTTAACCTTTTGATAAAGCAGCTTCTTTGTCTTGCCCATCAATGCCAGGCCAAGTAAACTTGGCATTGACAGAGGGGCAGGGACCCCCAAACAGAGGCATTCTGGAAAGCCTTTGCATGCCAGCTGTTGGAAAACTCATAACCCCAACATGATTATGTAGACTGCGGCTGCAAGGGTGTGCAGCGACTTGTAGTTCCACAGCCCCTGGTGTACCCAGAGGGTCCCCAGCCAAATAAAATGTTCTTTGTATTTATTTTGTTACCGGTTCATGCCAAGGGTAATGGAGCTGTTCCCTCCAAGCTGTTGGTGAACAACAAGTCCCAGAGGTGCATCCACACCTTTTACTTCAGATGCTGATGGTATTGTAATTGTTACCTTTTAATAAAGCAGCTTCTTTGTTTTGCCCATCAATGCCAGGCCAAGTAAATCTGGCATTGACAGAGGGGCAGGGACCCCCAAAACATCACACAGCGTAACAAAAAGGCATTCTGGAAAGCCTTTACATGCCAGCTGTTGGAGAACTCATAACCCCGACATGATTATATAGACTATGGCTGCAAGGGTGTGCAGTGACTTGCAGTTCCACAGCTTCTGGTGTACCCAAAGGGACCCTAGCCAAATGGAACCTCACCTTAAAGGGCATTGCAGCAGTTCCTGTGCTCTTCATATGTTATGTAATAGGGGGAGGTGGGTGTAATGCTTCTTGCATGGCCGTATAATTAAAATAGATGCCAAGAGTCTCTGATTATTACAGCCTAAAATGTTGGCAATTTGTCCCTGGTTTCCATCCATCCCAAATGTACTCATTCCCAATTTTTTGTTAGTATTTTGAAATAAATCCAAAAATATCTATCTATCTATCTATCTATCTATCTATCTATCTATCTATCTATCTATCTATCTATCTATCTATCTATCCATCCATCCATCCATCCATCCATCCATCCATCCATCCATCCATCCATCTATCTATCTATCTATCTATCTATCTATCTATCTATCTATCTATCATTTTTTAGCATTCAATTTATTTTTTTCAATTGAATGAACACACAATTAAATGTAATTGGGCTTATTTAATAATGCAGTCCCCCGTAGCAACTAATCACGACACACATTTTACTGACTGTTGAACGGTTTCTCTGGAAGGCATTTGTGAGACCACCTCGACCCTTGCGTGGCTGGCTAATGCAGAAATGGGTCATTGCCCTTTGCACTGCCTAATTCAATGAGCCTGCTCACATCCCCCGCTCCTCAGAGACACTGTTCAACAAAGGGGCAGTTTAAATGTATCAAAGCAATGGCAAAATGTCCCTGGAAATGATTTTTTTTGGAAGGTTGGTTATGAATTGGGATCATCCAAATCGCCTGGGAATTAATCGATGTCATGGATAAGCGACGGGAAAGTACATGCGTGGGATCTCAGACCTCCTGGCTTTGTTTTTAATGCTTCACAGTACACGTGTAGCTGCAGGCTGCGACCAGACACTGGAGGGTTAATGAGCGCACATCAGGGGGTTTGCTCGGAAATCCCCCACGCAAGCGGGCACAGGAGGCGCCTTGCCTACGCTTATTGAAGAGATGGACGTATGTCTGCGAAGGTTCTCATTTATCCAGGTCATGATAGAGCTCGTAGTAGTTAGTCGCATTCAACCGGTCTTGGCTCTGTAATGTTGAAGACGTTTCGTAGCTCAGCCCTATAATTCGTAGCGTTTAGAACTGAAGAAGCGGATTGGAGGAGCTATGAAACGTCTTCAGAATTACAGAACAAGTCCAGTTGAATGTAACCAACTCCCAGAGATGGAGATGAGCCAAAAGACTCCAGCACCGCGACCAGGGAGGAGCAGGACCCAATTATATAATTTATTATAATTATGTATGTTCCGTGATCTGTAGAGTTTAGCATGGATCCATTTAGCAGGTGAAGACGTAAATCAAATGAAACAATTATATCTGTATGTCTTTATTGATAATGTAATAGCTTTCTACGATGTGCATGTCTGTACCATAGCGATGAAAGGCTAGACCAGGGGTAGGCAACCTCGGCACGCCAGCTGTTGTGCAACTACAAGTACCATAAGGCATTGCAAGACTCTGAAAGCCACAGTCATGACTCCCAGAAGCAGAACCATGACAAGATTTGTAGTCTTACCACAGCTGGAGTGCCATGGTTGCCTACCCCTGGGCTAGAAGATATACAGGTTAATTTAATACAATAGTTAATAATAGAACTAATATAAACATCAAATAAAACTAATATTTAAATTATGGCCGTAACCTGGTAAATGAAAGTTAACCTGTCTTGTCTCGATTAAAGCCAACGACCGCCAGGCAACTACCAATGGCAGACTACATGGTACTCTCAGTCCAGGTCATGCCCCTTATATTGCTGCATGTCACCAGTGTAATCAATAGGTCACTGAGGTTCGCGCATTGCATTGTTCGATGTGATTAGCTCTGACTTAGAAAAAAGTCAGTATTTACATTTTGCATGTGTGTCCTGGTGTCACATTCTCCAAGAGAATCCAGGATTATATTAAGGTACCGTTTGGAAACTTCCTATAGCCTGCATTCATCTGAGCCCCCTGCATTTGCTTTATTGAGAGAGGAGGGGATTGCCACGCATGTGCGATGATGTCACGGCAGGGTGTCACCCGGTATGACACCCGGCCTCGGGACACCCCTGGGTGCATTGCCAGCTTAAGACTGTGTACACATTATGTTGCTTGTGTCCGTTATTTTCTCAGTTTGCTGTTACTTTTTATTGATCATTTTTGCTAGGCTGAATAAAACAAACACAGATCCTTCTAGATAAAGGTGGTCGGTACCTCTGAAGTCTTACCGATATTTTTTTTATTTTTAAATATACATATTACAGAGATCAACTGTATGTCACGCTATGTATTGTATTTCATTATGTTTTTATTCTTTAATAAAAACGTATTGGTTTTAAAGAAAAGTTAACCCTTGCAGTGGGGCGTCCCCAGCACTAGAAGGGTTAACTGCTCATTTCCCCCCCCCTAGGGCGTGATAATTAAGAAGATACCCACCTGATCCTTGAGTTCCTTTTTAATCTCGATGTATAGCGGGGAGACCGCTTTGATTATCTGCTCTTCAAAGACATGAAAACTGCAAAGTTATGGGCCCGATAAACTATTGATGGTGCAGAGTGAGAAATTGCGACGGGGAAATCAAGCACGAAATTGTCGCACAAAAAAAGTTGCAAATTGTGACAAATGATGTAATCTAGGGGTAGGCAACCTCGGCACTCCAGCTGCGGTGAAATCACAAATCTCTGAAATCACAAAGCCTCTGCCTCTGGGCGTCATGTCTGGGACTGTCAGTCTTGCAATGCCTCATGGGACTTGTAGTGCCTACCCCCCTGCTCTATTATGTTGCAGTGACCATAGTTCATAAGGAGCCCTGCGCCATCTGCTGCTTGGCGTACTAATGCGCTTATTGTATGTGCCCAAAATATACGCAATCTTTTCAACTTTAAAGGGATTTTCCTATTTCTGTCGCATTCAGCAGGAACATGCGTTGCGCGTCAATTGTTATTTTGTTGCACTAGTTATAATGTGACCGTTTTAATATCACACCATTGATAGTTTATCGGGCCCGCTGGATTCTGTTAACTGTACGGGGTTATTATGTGTCATACTAGTATTCAGTGTATCGCTTCTCGGCCTTATGGCTAAGATCAAGTGTAGTATCTGTTCTTATCAGTTACAGGAGGGGAAAGGAGCCGCTGTACTGGCCTTATGGCTTGTATGGCTTTAATCTGAGTACCCTGCCTGGTGATGGGGGTCCTAAAAGGTCCTGGCTATGGGAGGGAAACCGAAGTGAGCGTCCACTCACGTAAGAGTGGGGGTCGGAAGTACTTCTCGGGTGCTTGGATCTGGCAGGGCACAGTTCCTCCTGATTTGGACGGGTCTATCTTGTTTGGCCATGGCCTGGAAAGGCACGAAGCCTGTGGTGTTTAAGCCCCCTGGAGTGGTGACCCAAGGGTGCCGTAGTAGCATTATGGGTTTGGGACCCCACTGTGTGAACGGCACTTTGGCCACGACACCTTTGCTTTTTGATGCACATCGCCTCTTGGGCTAGGCATTTTGGCTAAGACCAGGGGTCATTTTTATTACCGGGCCACAACTCCTAGCCATAGTCTTGCACTTTTCTCACTGTAATTGCACTTTTCACTTTTTTATGTGTTTTCAGTCCACAGGATGGAGAGTGTGGGTCTCCGGGCCTAGCCTGAAGTCTAGGATATGTGGCCCTTAGGTTCCTTACGCCCCTCCGGGGGAGCCCTCAACCGTGTACTCGGTGGTCAGCTTCGGCTGACCACGAGGAATGGGTCCCCCTGGTTTCGGCCCCCCGGGGCATTGTGCCCCGGGGGGTCAGGAATGGGCCCTGTCTCTTTGGGAGACAGGCCCTTTAGATTGCACCCCTTCTGTGCACTTTTTTGTGTGTGTGTTCACATGCACTTTTTTGGTTCACTTTTTGGGTGTTTGATGCACGCTCCACAGGCTTAAAAAAAACAAAAAAACAAACTAGTATTCTGTATATGAAACTTTTATTATTTCATGTGCTGTCATGTTAGAGAGATATTCATTGTATTCATTCAAAACATAAAGTAAACACAGACAGAATCTTTTATAATACCAGAATCTCCTCTGTTGCCAGCCTTTGCTTCCACCGAGCCAAGCAG